GCTTTTTGACAACTAGTGACCTAGAACAGTTTTTTTCTTCTTCTTAAGCTTGAATAGTATACAGACATCTTGAACGGAAAGACACTTGAACATCCTTAATTAGAAGACTTCGGGCTTTTTGACAACTAGTGACCTAGAACAGTTTTTTTCTTCTTCTTAAGCTTGAATAGTATAAATACTGTACATAAGTAAATAAGTACAAAGACATCTTGAACGGAAAGACACTTGAACATCCTTAACTAGAAGACTTCAACTTGATCTCAGTTTATGAAAATGGTTTTATATAAATGATCACTGTAAAGTGAAGTTTTGCCTTTAAAGTAGCTTTTTTTTTTTTTTGAGATTATAAGTGATGAAAATATAATTTAATGCTAGTCACAGAACTCCTGGACTTCAAAATAAGTCTGCAGCCTCCACTTTGAGATATGCTGAGAATTGGTTGTGATTTAGTTTCCTGTTTTCTCTTGAGTGTTAGAAAAGCCTGGGCTTGTGGGGCCTCTGCCTGTGTGTCCCACATTCTGACTTCTTTTTGTGCAAGAAGAAGCAGGGAGAAGTCAGCAAGGCCGCCAGTGCCGACAGCACGACTGAGGGCACGCCCGCCGATGGCTTCACCGTCCTCTCCACCAAGAGCCTCTTCCTCGGCCAGAAGGTAGGCAGACGTGTGGCTTCAGTCTGCTCAAGGGCCCCGGGACGGATGGCAGGCCTGGGGATTCCTGGGGCCACTCCCAGCCTCGTGGGTGGACAGAGTGGCTTTGAGAGTGGCCTCAGGGGAGGTGAGGTGCTGAGGAGACCACAAAGCTGAGGGGGGACTCTGGCAGGTGGGGAATGGGAGATAGTGCTAAAGAGAACAGGGGGGTTCAGTAGAGGATCAGGACCCTTGGGGTTAGCCTGGAAAAGGAGCTACTTCTGTGGGGTAACTTAGTCATCAGATAGCACTGGCCAGAAAACTAGGCAGAAGTCAGAACCCCCCTTGTGGAAGGTGCATGATCTGGCAGGTGGCCTACCTGTTCTGGTGGGCCCTAAAGGCAGAGCCCCCAATCTGATCCCGGGCGGGATTGTTTCCAGATACACTAATGGGTGCACTGGGTTTCTTCACTGAACCACCAGACGACTCTTCAAGCCAATTGTTTGTTTGTTTTAACCACGGGCAATATATTTTCAGCCGCCCCAGTGATGCACCTTTGCCAGGACGCCATGGTTTTGTAAAAGACGATTCACTTTTATTGAAAATAAAAATGATGCAACAGCTTTTAAGACCTGAGAATGACAGTTAATTAATATATCTCTATTAACACCAAAAAAAGGGGTGGGGAGAGAGGGAATTAAGTTTTTCTCGATTTTTTTTTAACCTACATTCAAAAAAATTAAAGGAATGAATTGACCTTCCTTGTAAATTTGAGTTTAGTTTGAATGGTAACAATTTGGTTGTGAAGCTGCATCATTTTTAAATCCTCACTGTCAGTTTTCTTTTGCATCACAGTGACACGGCTCTCTGCTCACATCATTGCAAGTCCTCCCCCACCCCGTTCCCTCTTCCTATCGCTAATTGCACTGTCTCTCATGATGCACTTCCTGTGGTGGACTCTGTATTCCAGAAAATAACCATTACTGTTTACATTTTATAACCATTATCTGTATTTTGTATGCATTTTTCAAAAGAAAAAAAAAGCAGCACTAGTTGTCATCTTAAGGTCTGGGGCTTTAAAAGGTTCTGTTTAAAATATTTTTTATTCATTTAAAAATTCTAACTCAGCAGTGAAGGCAACCACCTGGGTCTACTTTCACACCCTTTAACATGTTCTTTGAGTAATATTGAAAGTTAATGTGACCTGTCATCCAAATTGCTTCAGTTTGAACTAAAGCGTGAAAACTGCCCTGCTACTTAGTACTAGCTCCAGTGTGTTCTGGATCCCCAGTACAGACTATTAGCCAGGAGACTTGGAGGCCTGTTTAACAGGTAGAACAGTTCAGCCCCATGGGGTCACTCTTTCCCTCACTCCTGCCGCACCCTGCCCTTGGGTGCCCCCAGCTCTGGCCTCTTCCTTCCCTGTGTTCTTCTTGCTACCTCCTATTGGTCACCCCACATCCAGCCTACAATCAGAAATCTTCACCCTGCTCTTTGCTGGGTGAACTCAGATTTTCCCAAACTAGCAGCAATGAGCTATGCAAATGTCCATGTACAAATGGATATCCCTTTCTTGTTGCTCGGCTCTTCAGAAAGAAATGGGATCAGATCTCTGTCTGGGCTCTGTTGCATGTGAGCCCTGGAGGAGAGGTGGGCAAGGGCTATAGACACCTTGCTGGCTGCTCTGCAGAGCTGTGTGCACATTAGCCTTTCAGCAACTCTTCTCTGACATGTTGGGTACATCTCAGGTCTCAGGATCAGGTGCTACAAGACTAGAAATATTGTACAATAAAGTACAAATCTAGCTAATACCGACTGTCCCCCACTCAGGGTTGGGAGGGAGCGTCCAAAAAGCCACAGAGATTTATTGATACTCAGTAATAATTTACAGACGTATCATCTAGTGTTATTTAAGAAACAGAGGAGAATGAAAGCGGTGGGCTTGATAACGAAGCTAATGTGCCTGTTTGATATCTTGACTTTTGGAGGGAGACTCTGAAAAGATTGGTTGAGCTGAAACCCCGTATAAAATGGTCAGCTGTAAGAGGAGGGGCTGAATGCAGACACAGGCAGACCCCCAGCCTTCTTTCCCAGATCATACATTCCAGTCTCTTAGTGGTGAAAAGAAAATACAAAGCTGCTGTGAAACTGCCCTTCCTGTTAAATGTGCTTGCAATAACCCAAGATTCACATACCCAGGAAGAGGTACCCCCAAATCCAAGACTTCATATGCCTTTTAGCAGAGTAAACTGTGGCTTCATAGAATAAAGCAGCATCTCAAGTCAGCCTGGGCACAAGTGTTAGAAACTGGGGTGCCAGCTGCCCTTTTTGGAACCCTGCATCCCTGCAGCATGAGATGGTGTGAACATTGATATTTCAGAGCGTTATTTCGAAGCAGTATTTTCTGGCCCTTTATTGGGTATTACTGTCAGGTAAAAATCATGGTATATAGTTCAGAAGGGGCAAGAGTAATAAAACCAACACATACAGATTTTACACAAAGCATATTATAATGTTATTACAGAAATTAGTTTTGACTTGGATTTTAGGAAATGTTTCAAAAAGGGTACTTTAAAATAATGACTGTATGGTACTCTGTGTTCTATGAATCTTATTTTTCCATCTATGACAGTGAAACCAATGCTTCAATATTGTAAGCAAGCTGGGGTGGACGAAGGTAATATCTGCTTGCTACAGCCCTGTAAAGGCCTGGTTACTAAGCTACTCACAGAAGGAAACAGCCCAGGGCTTAGGAGCCAGGTCTAATTGTTGTTGTTAATGATATATTTCACATAATGAAGCCTTGCCCTGTAAAGGCCTGGTTACTAAGCTACTCACAGAAGGAAACAGCCCAGGGCTTAGGAGCCGGGTCTAATTGTTGTTGTTAATGATATATTTCACATAATGAAGCCTTGGGAGTAATCACCCTCATTACTCTGATTTTACCCAGTGTTCACACACATTTTTTAATTGTTTTAAAAAGAAAACAGTGTTGTGAATCTGAGTCAACTAAATGTTTTTGCTTTGTGTTTCAACTGAGATTTGCGGTCTCTTTGGAGAGGTAAAAACCTGATGGTTTTATTTCCAAAAAAATCCCTTCCAGTGTGAATACCTATACATCTGTCTGTGCCAATGGCAGTAAATGATTTAGGTCTCCTTGGTAGAGTAAGTGTTTGAAGCAGCTGGCAATCTCAGGAGGGTGTACATGAGTCTTCATGCCTCCCAAATGGTCAGGGTCATGGCCAAGCACTGGAGGCCATCAAAGGCAGACACGGCTGCTGTGGGTTTTCTCCCTGTGATCCACACACCCTTCTCCTGGGAGCTGAGAGACTGTAAGGACAGAGGGTTTGAAGCAGCAGTGAGGGAGAAGAGCCGTGCACCCCTTTCCACCATTGTGGCCAAGGACTGGCCGTGGAGACAGTTCCGAAAATGGATGAAACCAGGAGGAATGGCTCAGCTAGCAGGCCTCCAGCAGTGCCCACACTCAGCCCTCACTTTGTGAGGCACTTTCTAGCCAAAACCCTCCAGATGTCACCACTAGGCCAAGGGCTGTGGAGAAACTGAGGCTGGGCATGTGTGCAAGGTGGGCAGCATAGCACAGGTGTGAGGGCAGGAGTGGCCTTGAGGGGGCCATAGGGAAAACATGGTTCTTGTGAGGGAGGAGTCTGTGGAAGACATCACCCTTCCAGCCCCCCTGGTTGGAGTGGATTTGAAGGACAGGAAAAGAACTGCATTTTATGTGGCTAGCACAGGGAAATGAGACTGGCCAGGCTTCCTTACTTGTCCATTATGAAGGAATGAGAGACACCAAAATTTGACAATTACAGGATATATTCAACATTATCACTCAGATAATCTTTAATATCACTTTCATTGCTAAAATTGAATTTCTGATTATATTTTTTTGAAAATAGAAGAGATTGAACTGTGTGTCCTGTAGCCAAGTAGGTCAGGTCAAGGCAGTCTGCATGTCCCCCAGTAGCTTGAAGCCACTGGTTTCTTCCCTTTCATCGACAAACTGCCTCTTGACTTACCCTAAATGGTGGGTGCCAGCCTCCTGTCCAGGTGAGGCCAGGTTGGCGCTGAGCTACCTCAGGTCCAGGCCAGGCCAAGGTCCCAGTTCCTGAGCTCAGGCATTTTCATGAACCCTGCTTTAAGGGAAGGGAGGGACATTCATTTTATCTCAGAATTATGTGAGGATATTAGATGTTCAATTCCAACTCTATGTACCTACAGAAAACCTAGCACTATTTTAGGCATTGTGTGGCACTTAGGTTTAGGAGGCAACACACTCTCTGCCTTCAAGGAGCTTATACTCTAATGAGCTCACATCATGAGTAGAGAACAAGGATTAAAGTGGACACAACCTCTGTAGAGAAGACTTGGGTACTTTAGACTTAAGAGAGTGGCTACAGGAGAGCCAACTGTGATTAAAATCATCAGATCCCAGTGATGGAAAGGATCCTGAAGGTCCTTTGGCTAAGTTCCTTTCTCCCTACTCCACAGCCAATTATCTTAAGAGAGTGGCTACAGGAGAGCCAACTGTGATTAAAATCATCAGATCCCAGTGATGGAAGGGATCCTGAAGGTCCTTTGGCTAAGTTCCTTTCTCCCTACTCCACAGCCAATTATCCCCCGCCCCGCTCTATAACTTACAATACCCTGTGGTCACTTCCTCCAGTGGCCAACAATATTCATGGCTGCTTTACATTGTCCAAGCTGTTGTTTAAAACTTGTAAGTTTTAAAGAAGTAATCACCTTTTCAAATTCTATATGTACTATTAATGATCCTCTTCTTTCCTGGCAAATCAGACTAATCTGGGAAATTTTCATAGTTCCCCAGAAATCTGATTTCCCAACCCCCAAGTACCTTCTCTGTCACTTCAGATGTACTTCAGATGGCCACATGGCCTTTTGACTGAAATGCCCAGTTGGATTTCACCCCGGGTGGAGAGAGGGGCCCTGGGACCTCCTCAGACTGGGCATCTGCCTTGGCCCTGCCATGCCTGCTCACATGTGACCAACTGGACAGCAAGGTTCTTTCCACACATGTGCAAACATGGCCCATTTGCACCCTATGCTTGTGGGTTTTCTTCTGTTCAGGGGCACCACTATTTTTATTCGTGATCATCTCACTTTCAGCTTCTGCTCATTGGTCCAGCCTCCCCAAGCCTAGTTGATTACCTATTTGTCTTTCCAAAGTGCCTAAATCAATTTGTCTCCTCCCCTCCCAATTCCACACAAACACCCCAAGTACACAGTTTCTAGTCTAGAGAATTTTTTAAAAATACATATTTGTACATATTTTATAAGCATTAAAACTATTTTGTGGCTCAGCCCCACTCCTGGGGACTTCTGCTGAGCCCTAGTGCATAACATAGCATAGTTGGAAAATCACTACTCTAGTCTCCATCCCCTGTCAGAGGGGTAAGGGGAATTAATTGGCCTAGGATTACTGTCCTGGATTCCACTCTGCCTCTTCCTTTTCTTTAGGTACAAGTGCCTGCAGTCTCATCCTCAGCTGTGGGTGAAAGAGCGAAACAGCACTTGGCTGGCTGCCAAGTCTCAGTGTTGAGCAGTGGTGGCTCCCAAAGTATAGTAGTCTGTGCTTCCAAGAGCAGGGCTGCCTCTGGGCAGAAGGGAAGGCCATGAGTCCAGAGAGAAGTGGGAATTCTCCAAGGAACTTCAATTCTCCCTCACTTCAGCAAAGCCAAGAAACCCCCAGTGTCACCAAAGAATCCCTTTCCCTAGACAGAGTGGTTGTTCTCCCGAGAACAGAGGCAGCCACCAGCTACTGGGATCTTTCCAGCTAGTTGAATCGGATCTCATGAAAATAGCTGCTTTTCCAATAACACATTTCTGAATACAGACCCAGAAACATCTATACAATTAAAAATAGTGTGAATTTTAAGGACTGAACATGTATAATTTTTAAACAAAAAAGGAATCTTATGTCTTAAAAGTATACTCATCCACGCCACACCAAGTGAAGTGTTTCTTTCCTTTTTTTCTCCTTTGTCTTCTTCCCTCGCCAACCTCTTGCCTTTTCACACAGTGTAAGGTTTTTTATTGGTGGGAACAGGGAGTATTGGCTTAGTTGGTTTTTATAAACAGCATTTGCAGGCCGGCCCGTGGCTCACTCGGTAGAGTGCGGTGCTGATAACACCAAGGCCACGGGTTCGGATCCTATATAGGGATGGCCGGTTTGCTCACTGGCTGAGCGTGGTGCTGACAACACCAAGCCAAGGGTTGAGATCCCCTTACCGGTCATCTTTTAAAAAAAAAAAAAAAAAAAAAAAAAAAAAACCAGCATTTGCATGGAGTCAAATGCATACTAATGATATCACAATAAAATCCTTTACCTTGTTCTTAATCCTGAGCATTCATTTGCCTTACCCTCTGGCCTCCCATCTGTGCCCCTTCTCCCTGAGGGCGGCAGTCAGGCCCTGGCCCTGGTGCTGACCATTTCTTTTCTGTGCCTCTGCCCTGGCACCATACTTCTGAGAGCTCATTATGTGAGATCAACCCTGATAGCCTTCTTTCAGCTTTGGGGATGTGGGTGGCCCCTAAATCATCCTGTAGTGCTAGGAGCAATAACCTAGAAAGTCCAAATGGAGAAAGTTTGTTCCTCTTTCTTCTTTGAATACTTATCTGAGGCCCACTACCCTTTGGCAGGGCCTGGCCAGAGTCCTTCCTTGGACATGGGACCAAATTTATTTCCACAACTCCTTTCTCCCAAAGAATGATTTTAGTCTAAGCAGGTCCCTTTTTTGAGAATCTGACGGCTTCTGAGAATCAGAAATGTGGGTTTATATTTCTGATGCTTGTAAACTGTCAGGTTTTTTGTTTTCAAACAAAATGTTTGGCCCCAGAAGTTCAGCAACTTCGAACTCAGTTGCTAGGAGCCTCCCTGCCAGATGTCTGCACACAACCATCTCCTCTGAGTGAGGCCTGGACAAAGACTGGCCCTGCAGACCATGGTCACCCCCACCCCCAGCCTAGATCATAGTTGGTCTTGGGCACTAGCTACTTGGGGGCTGCTTAGGCATTGCACTTTGCTGCAGCTGTTATGAATTGATGTCACTGAGGAATGAGCATTCATTAAAAGAGAGAGTGCAAACTTTTGCAGCTGTTATGAATTGATGTCACTGAGGAATGAGCATTCATTAAAAGAGAGAGTGCAAACCTCACTGCAGGCACTTGTACCTAAAGAAAAGGAAGGGGCAGGACAGTAGTCCTAGGCCAATTAATTCCCCTTACCCCTCTGACAGTAGAATCTGGAACTTGGGATTCCTCTCTTACTCAAATGCTGGGGGTTGCTATGGCAACAGAGTAACAATGAGGAGAGAGGACATTCCAGTGGCTTTTCAGAAAAAGCAAGTTGGCTGGGTAACCATAAAACTGACTCAAGGAAAATGCTCAATAAGCCATCTATTTGGGCCTCACAGTAACCTGACCAACGAGGTGTTTAAAAGACATTTTGTCTTGCTGGAGAACTGCTGTTTTTCTTCCTGGGTTGAAGATCTTCAATATTACGTGACTAATGGGCACATAAAATTAGGTATTACTAAGCATCACACCGTTCTCACTCCTTGCCACTCCTGAGCAGGGCAGGGGAGCCAGCCAGCAGTCACAGTGATGGGGACAGCCTTAAAGACCCACAGCCACTTGGAGGACAATGGCAGAGTTACTAGGGGTTTACCCAAGCCAGGTAGGACTTCTGCACAGCCCTGGAACTCAAGGATGAAGACAGTCCCAAATACAACCACCACCCCACCCCATCCCCAGCAGTGAGTACTCTGATCCTAGATCCTGACAGCTACTTTACTTTGGCCCCCAAATCACAAGTTCCTTTAAAGGAAAGTCAGTTGTCCAGTACAATGTGGCTTGTGCTTCCCTTTTGCCCCAAGCATCACCCAACAGGTTCTGAAGATAGACTAGCTTGCTTCCTTTCAGTATCCCAAGCAGCACTGGAACCTTATGTTCAAAATGGATTCATTTTAGCCAGCAACTCTCTGTCTCCCTTTGTTCCCAGTGCACTTGGAGTGCGCACTGCCCTTCACCTGTATCCCAAGGCTCCCTTCTCTGCAACTTCCTAGCTCTCCTGTTATTTCCCACCTCATGCTTTTCTTTTCAGCTGAACCTTATTCACAGTGAAATCAGTAATTTAGCCGGCTTTGAGGTGGAGGCCATAATCAATCCTACCAATGCTGACATTGACCTTAAAGATGACCTAGGTAATTGGGGACGGGGTTTGGCACCACCAGCTGTCAGATGAAAAGTTATGGAACCCAGAATTTAGGTTTTCTCACCTGCCCAGACTTCAAAATGGTCAGGTCAAATTTCTAAATCCAAGATTGATGTTTGAGTGTAGACACTGAATATCTACTTACTCAAGCCATTCCAAACAGAAACAGTCTGGTATGCTTCATTAAGTGCAATTGGCTATTTTCCCCTTGATTGCAAATATATTGTTATCTAAATTCTTTTCCATAATCATCAAACTGATTGCTGGTTACTTGGGGGGGATTTTTACATGTGTTTCAGTTTTTTTTATTTTTGTTTCTTTTTAGAACTGAAAAATCTCAGGTAACTACAAAATGATAGTTTCTCCATTTAAGCCTTAATTAAAAATGACACTCAAAGCTTGAAAGGGAAGACAAGCCATATCAGTATACCATTAAGCTGTCTTTACTACACAAGCAAATTGGCTTCCCCCAAATTTACAAACCTCCTGTCACTTTAACTTTTTCTAGAACTGAAAACAGTATATGACTGAGTGCCGCCTTCATGAATTATTTGGCTAGAGGACAACATTAAACAAAAGGGCAATATCTCTCTCTGAGCAAGTTCCTATGGAGGAAAACTGCCCCAGAACTATGATTTCTCCCCACCTAGAAGAGCAGACGGTTCAGGGCAAGCTGAGAGGTACCCCTCAGGTGTCCCACCTCTGTGGCTTTGTTTTTGCAGATGAGGAACCGTCAGCTCAGGGACACAGTAAAGGCTCCTGGGAAGTAGGCCACATGGTTGCCCACAAAGCCAGTCTCATCCCTAACATTGACATTGGTATGTTTCATGTGCCTGTAGCTCCCAGCTTCAGCCACTTTGTGAGATGGCAGATTTCCTTATTTCTCTCTCTCTGGAATGAGAGATTCTCATTCCAGAACCCAGGCCTGACCCACAAAAATTGGGTACAGCCATGGGCTAAAGACGTTGGGACTGGGACTCAAGAATGCCCTATTTGAACTTGTTTTCCAGTTGTTACCCAGGTACTTTTGGGGGTG